CGCGCCTCGCGCCCTCCCGGTGGGGAGGGCCGCGGTTCCCGCCGCCAGTGGCGGGCTGGGGGGCGAGCATGGCCCTGCCGGCGGCGCCGCGCCGCACAAAGAGCACTGCCCAGGCCTGATTTGCCTTTAAAGGCGGTAGCCTGAGATTTAAGGTGTCCCCGAGTTCCGTCCTCCGCGCTGTGGCTGCCTTTTCTACTTGTGCTTCATGGGGTGTACCGGGCCCCTGCGCCCACGTCCTGGTGTCCACTCCATTGTTTATTTACTGGGCTTGGGGGTAGGTGGATCTGTAAAGAAACCAGCAGACTAGGAGAGGGAGGGGAAGAAGCTAACCTGTGAGGTGTGTGTACCCAAAAACCATGTCCGTACGGGAGTCCTTTAACCCAGAAAGTTATGAACTGGACAAGAGTTTCCGGCTAACCAAATTCAGGCTGCAAAGTGCCCCAAGATGTCTTACAGAAATTGCTGGAATCCTTACAAGAGAACCACTTCCAAGAAGATGAGCAGTTTCTGGGAGCAGTTATGCCAAGGCTGGGCATTGGAATGGATACCTGTGTCATTCCTTTGAGGCATGGTGGTCTTTCTTTGGTTCAGACCACAGATTACCTTTACTCTATTGTAGATGACCCTTACATGATGGGCAGGATAGCATGTGCCAATGTCCTCAGTGACCTCTACGCAATGGGAGTCACAGAATGTGACAACATGCTGATGCTCCTTGGAATTAGCAATAAAATGACTGACAGGGAAAGGGATAAAGTGATGCCCCTAATTATACAGGGTTTTAAAGATGCAGCAGAGGAAGCTGGGATGTCTGTAACAGGTGGCCAAACAGTATTAAACCCCTGGATTGTTTTGGGAGGAGTCGCTAGAACTGTCTGCCAGCCCAACGAATTTATCACGCCAGATAACGCAGTGCCTGGAGATGTGCTTGTATTGGCTAAAACGCTGGGTACGCAGGTGGCAGTAGCTGTGCACCAGTGGCTGGGTATCCCTGAAAAATGGAATAAAATTAAACTAGTGGTTACCCAGGAAGACGTAGAGTTGGCATACCAAGAAGCAATGATGAATATGGCAAAGCTCAACAGACCAGCTGCAGGACTCATGCACACGTTCAATGCCCATGCAGCCACCAACATCACAGGCTTTGGAATTTTGGGCCATGCACAGAACCTGGCCAAGCAACAGAGGAATGAAGTGTCATTTGTGATTCACAACCTCCCTGTACTGGCCAAGATGGCAGCTGTGAGCAAGGCCTGTGGAAACATGTTTGGCCTCATGCATGGGACCTGCCTGGAGACATCAGGAGGCCTTCTAATCTCCTTGCCGCGGGAGCAAGCAGCTCGGTTCTGTGCGGAGATTAAGTCTCCCAGATATGGAGAAGGTCACCAAGCATGGATTATTGGGATTGTAGAGAAAGGCAACGGTACCGCCAGAATCATAGACAAACCCCGGATCATCGAAGTCGCACCGCAAGTGGCCACTCAAAATGTGAATCCCACACCTGGTGCCACCTCTTAATCCAGACAGAAATTGCTATTTGGTTTTGTTTTTAAATAGATCTGTTCCTTTATCATCACTTCAGTTAAAGACTGTAAACAAAAATTTCATTGTGTCTA